TTTTTTTTTTTTTTTTTTTTTTTTTTTTATAACCAGACCTTAGTCTCCGTATAGACGTCAGCATCAGCCTTCCTCTACCGACTGGGTTCCCTTTTTTCACCAGGACAGGTGTGGCCATATTTGAATCCACCAACCTTTAACTTTGCATGCTCCGCCGCACATCTAGCACTATGCTGACTCACTGTTTTTGACTCTAACCGACTGGCATATGTTCCTGGCTTACAGGGTCTCTCTATATCAGAATGCTTGCTTTATTTCCCCTAACACACACAAATGCAGATACCCACACCTATCCATCCTTCAAGACGTTGCTTCGACTAGTCAAATGATACTGGTTTCTGCTAAACATTAGAAACCAACATGAGTCTGCCCTCGAGAACCCCAAGGTAAAACAAAGTTACCTCCTTTCAATATTTCTAACTAGCAGGCATCTGGAGAAATATTCTGCAGAGATATGTAACAGAAGATTGCGGCTCCCATCGAGAAGAAATTTTTGCCTTGACATATGTCACCGAAGTGTTGGACACTTAGTGACAGGGTGCTGGAGAATAATTATAGACCTATAAAATATATTCATCAAGAGGCAAGCAGAACCTATTTCATATTTATATTTACATTATACAATTAGGGCAAACACAGGGCCCAAAGTCAAATGAGAGATTTTGATCAAGGCTCTTTTAGTCTCCACTATTTCAAGGTGCTGAATGCCCTCAATTCCAATGTCATCAAGGAGAACTGAGGCTGCTCGGCATCTCTCAGGGGATGGTCAGCATCTTGCAAGGTCAGGTCCTTACAAACAATGTACCCTCTGCTGTCTCGGCATGTTTTGCTCAGAGGACTTTTGGTCCTAAAATTTTATTTATTTATTTTTTTTAAACAGGGTTTCAAAATCTTCACTGGTTCTATTGATAAAGATCTAAAAGATCCCGCCTGTCTGGAGAAAAGAAGTTTCCACTTGTCAGTTAAACAAAGGAATAATGCACAGCTTCCTTTATAGTGTGTACTTTACCTGTCATCCAACAGCCCATTATCATGTCACGGCAGAGTGCACTTTTCTACAGGTCACTTTGTTTAAAATGACATGGATAATGCACATGTCAGCGAGCTGACAGTCCCGACCGTCCTTCAGAGATAAAAACCGCAAGACGAGCGCCTGTTCTTATCTGGGGTACATGCCTTGGTCTATCATCTAAGTCAGGCAGAACATGATTTCTCCAGAGAGCACTTTTTTCATTTCCTGATTTTAAGAAAATCAAATAAGCACCATTTGTCTTCATCTGAATATGCTTGACCTGCTCAAATGATGATGTCTCGCATTTTATAACAGGCTACATATGCTGAATTCAAATTAACAGCAGAACAGGGCCCTTAGATCTCTGCCTAGGCTGCCAGTACAGGCTGAAGAAATACTCCAGGTTTAGCAGCTTTCTGTCAGAATTGGGTCTCTGCTGTAAAATTCAGAGCTAGGTTTGATTCAGGGATCTGGCTGCCTGGAATTGTCAGGGATGCTTGGATCTGAGCTTATATCTCACCCTGTTATAAAGAAAGCCAAGACACCAATTGCCCAGTTCATATCTCAGTTTGGATTTCAAATTCTCTCTGCAGAACTACTGGGGTGAAGCACAAGGTGCCATTGCAGGTCTCTGTCCAATGCGGCATTGATTAAATGTCTCTTAACTAGCAATACAACATACCTAAAAACTGCCCGGTTTGTCTTTATGCATTAGATGCTCTTAAAGAAAAGCATTATGAAATCTGGCCTAGGTAAGCTCTGTGAATAGAGCAGCAGGAAATTAGACTCGTAGTGCTCAGCTGAGTCGTGTTTATTGTTTGCATATGGAACATCCTGAAAATAAGTAATCACTAAACAGGGTAGATTTGAACAGCAATGCAACGGAAATTCGTATCTAAAAGTGTAAGTTAATATTCTGTACAGGAACCCAACAAAACCACACTTCTCTGTTGTCACACTCTGATTAACTCCAGTGATTAGTTCCCCTACAGAAGGGAAATCACTAATGGACTCATGCTGCAGCTCAAAGTAAACAGGGCAGCTTAATATAGTTAGCAAATGATTATTAAAACCATGGGGCGGGGGGGGACCTCCAAACATATTCTTGGTTTGGAAAGTTACTGAAAACTAAAGGCCAGATTTGACCATTGAAAAGCTTAGGGTAGGAGTTTCCTTGATTTCTTCTTCCTACACAAATATATCACTGATAGATTTTATCAAATGTGAGCTCTGCAGTCCGTCATTTCCCTGGCGATTCCACAATACATCGAGGTGCGCCTTCTTCTTTCTTGGTTTACTTGGAGCTCATCACCAACCTCCAAGTATTGTGAAGAGATCACATGAAACCAATTTCCCCACATTCTTCCCCAAAACGTATCAGGGCAAGGAAAGGAACAAGAGAAAGCAGTGAAAACTGTCAAAGAAAAGTCTGTGGAGTTTGGGTGTCATCCAACATCCACCTACAAACTGTAGAACTCAACCTAGAGATAACATTTTTAAACAATTTTTTTCCCCACAATGCCTATTTTGTCTTTGACGGGCAAGAACATTATACACGAGATTGTTCATGGCACAGAAAAACGTAAGCGGACAAATTAAAATACATTGATATAGGTACCCTAGCTATTAGTAGCATTAACAATAAATAGCTTTATAGATCACTTCTTCCCTAACATTCCTTCAGCACAACACCCTCCCCCTCTCCTGCAGAGAAAAACCTAGACTCTTAGGGTAGATTCGGTAACAGAAAGTATTGATCAGACTTCAAGCACAGTTTCCAAATGTTGATTAAAACAAAACAAACCCCAAACTTGACCTTGACCTGCAGACCCATATATGTGAACCTTTGAAATCAGCAACTGTGTGGATAAATGCCTGTTTAAAAGTAAAAATATGAGTCTTTATAAATGTATGCCCCTGTACTGTCAAAAAAGCACTTCCCAAGGGTAAACACAGGTATGTAAAAGGGTGGAAGTCAAAATGGCTTTCACAGACTGCGCACACAATCCTTTTGTTAGTGGGTGCATCTACATGCTCATTCAAGCGCAGTGGTTACTGCACATATCATTTAGTACTTCTATAATCAAGCACTAAGTAAATGTGCAGTACCTGGAGTTACTGTGCAATTGAGCTGGTGAATGCCTTTTTAGTGACACTACTTTGCAGCAGACTAATAATACTGTGCAGTACGTATTAGTACGGTTTGTGCTGTGATGCGCTACTGTGCAGTATTATCAGGCTACCCTGCTGTTAGTGTCTCGTGTAGCTACATCAGGTATACTGCAAAATCAGAGGAACAGTTGCCTATAATTGGTCTTGAAAAAGATTTTCCTTCCATTTCTGATTCCAAACCCATTAAAGGCAATACAAGCCTTTCAACCCTTGACTACAGCATGCATTGGATCAGTCCTTAACACAAACTTTATATAAGTAATAGAAAAGTAGGAGTACAGGTCCAGGAAGATCTTTCTGTGCCCTGCCAGCATAGAACTGTATAGGAGACAAATGTTCCCCATCTTACCTTCTCTTCCTGATCACTGTCGCTGTCACACTGAAATAGAAAAAGAAGAAGAGAAATATGGGTAAGAGAAACCTTTCCAAAGGAAAATAGAAAAAAAAAATATGAACAACACTCCCCAGGTGTTTGACACACAGGTGCTCCATAAGGCTTTATTTCCAAATTCCTTTAGAAAGAAAACTTGTTTATTGCATGACAGGACTTTCCCCCCCATTTTAAGGAGAGTTGGCACTTAAAGCTAATACATTTGTAGTTCTGTTTCCACTGCAATATTATCATGATTCAACAAAGCCATTTGCAATTTACAGCCTCTTCTCCTAAACCACTAATTTACATGCAGGGACATTAGTTTTACATGAGGGCAGATAGCAGCCAACATCAGATCACAGAGAGGGAAAAGTATTATTAGCTGGTTCTTCATCTGATACACAGCATGTTGCCTCCTTCCAAAGTTTTTCCAGAGGGCAGACACAGAAAGAGCTTAGACAGCACCTATCCTTTGCAGAGCGTACACATTTACAAATCTATTGTTACTCATTGTAGATGCCTAACTTTGTGTCATCACACATAGATGGCTCCACTGAAGAATTCAGATGCTCAAGTCAGATCACATGGCACTAAGAATGTGTCAAATTAATGGCCTTGTGGCACAGTCCTTTTAGGCGGCTTCTGGAGTTTTTAACGCCTGGACTGACTGCATGTTAACACCTTGCAAGTGGCTTAAAGCACTCATTACTCAGCTTAAAGTCATGCCACTTCAGGGCAGGAGCATCTCTAGTCCTCCTGATTTTGCTCCTGCTCCATTAAGGTGTGGCCTCTCCAGACAGCTATTCTGCCCAAGTTGAAGTCCTCCAGCATCCCAGAATGCAGTGGCCCCTCCTGAGTCAGGGCAAGCGGGGACATTGGGATGCAAGGGGGCTGGGCACGGCGCCTCTGTCCTGCCGCTCCCGCCAGGTAGAACCAGCACCACAGCCCTGGAGAGTGCCTGGTGGTTGCAGTGCCTCCAAAACTGACTCACTGCTTTGAATGCCAGGGCCAGACTCGGGCTGTGGAGCCTGCATGGGGCAGTAGGCTGGTGCTCAACCCTCCTGCTGACCCACCGTTGAACTTGTGCCCAGCCCTGTGCTCTGCTGCATGTCCCCTGTGTGGCACCTGTGCCCCCAGGACCTGGTGGACACATGTCCCAGCAGGGATGGGTGGCTGGAGCAGGGTGGCAGCAGCCTGAGGCTGGTTCCCGCTGACCCCGCGCTCCACCAGGTTGTGTAGGGTCTGGCCACTGGCTCCCCCAGCAGCAGCCATGGTTGGCAGGTGCCTGAAGCCCCTGAGCCCCCCTGTAGCAGCCAAGCAGCCCTGAAAATGGAGCAAACACTGCAGCTCTGGAGCGTCCAAGGGCCATGGGGCCTCCCGCTGCCACCCAAACCCGGTTTGCTCCCGCTGACAGCAATGTGGGGTGGAGGTGGGGGAGGAATCAGGATCAGGCTCCTCAGAGCTCAGGTGATACCCGGCTGGCTGGCAGCCCAGTCAGGGGCAGCACAGGGGGATGAATTTCAGTGAAACCAGAGAGTCTCTCTGGTCTCCCTGCAACTGGCACGGTGGCTCTGCACTGAGGATGGGGCCACCAGGCTCTCAGCGTGGAGCCACTGCAGCTCGATGAGACCAGAGAGCTCCAGGGAAGCAGCTTGGTTTTGCAGAGCTGTGGCAGCTCTGCGCTGAGAGCAGGGCTTCAGCCCAACAGCCCACCCTCAGCGCAAAGCCACTGCATCATTTTCCATGAGACTGGAGAGTCCCAGGGAAGCTGCTTCCCCAGGTCGCTGTGGTCTTGCTGCAACTAAGACGCTGCTGGGCCTGCCCGTTGCCTGGCGGGAGCAGAGTCAATCTAGCCCCAAGATCCGAGCCCTGTCCACCAAGCCTCTACTGGCAAGTCACAGCTGTGCAAGCGAAGGACAGGCAGAAGTTTCCAAGCTGGAGAAAGGAACAGACAAACCGTCAGTAACCCATCTTTTAGAGCACATAGTCGCAGGTGCTTCAAACAGTAAGACTACCGTCTTGGAGGATTATGCAATGACAGGCTTCTAAGGGAAGCTTCTTCCTAACCCAAGCTGGTAATATTTGGCATATGCCCTAAAGCTTAAGGAGTTATGTCCCTCATATATATTATCCTATTGAAAAGAACTATATACACTCTTTTTACCCAACTAAGTAATTAATCTTTTTTTTTAAAGGGTTCAAAAGATCAATTATGTGTTGCGGTATAAAAAAAAGTCTTAACTGCTCTAAATAGTTTCCTTTCACTGGGCTGCTGCTTTTTTTTTTTTTTTAACCAGAAAGAAGGATCACTGGAAACACTTGATTTACCTTCTTTACACCAAAGAGTTCCTCACAAACAAGCTAAGGTGGAGAATTATTCACAGCAAACTAGCAAATAATTTAAAATAAAGGATAAATTAGCAAAAACCGCCATCTGTTTACAGATAATTCCCAACCAGGAACAGAGGAGAAATTCCTTGAACAAATGATCCATTATGAATGATTTATCCAGCTGTAGATCGCACCTGGATACTTCCAGTGACTGCGACACTACAAAAAGACCAGCCAGATCATGTTGATAAGATGGAGTTTTGGATCAAAAGTAGTAAACCTCAAATGAAGAGCAAACCTTCAGAAAGGATATTTGACTGACATATGTAAAAGTAGCATTTTATGCTAGTAAGAGGGATAAACGTGAGTTTTCATTTCAACTTGGTCCCAGGCAAGTTTTGGAACTGATATTGGAGATACGCATTTACACCCAGTCAGTTCAGTGTGACCATACCCATATGGAAATTAGGCGTGTATGTGCTTAAGTTTGCAAATCAGCAAAAATGTATGCATCCATGAACATAAAGTGGTTTACAAAAGAAGTACTGCTATTCCCATTTTACAGATTAAGAGACCTAGGTATAAAGAATGGAAGGAACGGCTTGCACAAGAGCACTCAACTGTCCGTTTACAGAGCTGGGGACAGACTCCAGCCACGTGCCTGCACTGCCAACTTACACATGAAGAAAAGAAGATGCCACAAAATGGATGCTAAGAATGCATGATAACCATGAGATTTCTTCATTGCCATTAAGTTTCCCCAGGCTTGCAGGTTTGGAGATGGTTTAGGGAGGTTTTTAGTTTGTTTTGTTACTGGGTGGGAGCACTTGCAGGAGGAGAACGCTTGCCAAGGGTGTTTTTCCACGCTCTCACAGCTTCAGCTGTAAAGTAATCAATGACATCTGAGTTTCCCAGCACAACATTCACCTACAGTCCAGAGAATCTGCAGAGAAAGCGCACAGAACTATATCCGTGGGAACAGTTATTTCCATCAAAGTGTTAAGCCTCCTGCTTTCCGACAGTCCAGTTCTAATTTCAAGGTCCGCTTAATTCTACATCAAATAATTACTGCTATACCCAGAAGCACCTTGTCTCCAGAGTTAAGCATATGGCGAAGGACTGAGACCTACTGGTGTCCATTATGGAAGCAGTACGGATGCCAAGCCGATTAAAAATGCTCAGGCTCCCTTCGCAACATGCCTGGTGACTGACAGCTTCGCGATTTGGCCAGTCGCTGCGTCTGCCAAAACAGCCTCTGCTGCACTGAGGCCCACATGGCGCTCTGAGAAAACAGTTCCATTCCTGGTATTAAATTCCCATACTGACCTGGGGACTTTGCCGTGAGCTCAGCAGGAGCACACCATCCAATTTACAGCTCCATCCTCCAGAGCCCTGAGTGCCAGCCTCTGGCAGAGACGAATGATGGTCAAACCCCTCCAGCTCATAAATTATGCAAAGGCAATAAATGCACTCAGCAAACAGCTCCTAACGTTTGCCTAGCCTGGCTCCTAATACACTGTGTAAAATGCCAGAAGTCCTGCATACACAAGGCGTCTTTTTCACTCATAAAGAGGTTTTGTTGACAAGGAACGAGGAAGGAGACCACGGTCCCGTGGAACGCATCCGTTCCGACAGCAGAATTTTACGGGCAAGCGTTCAGAAAGAAAAAAGAGTGGAGCAGGCTGGGGAGAGGAAGAGGATTCATATGTTGTATTCAGTTTAGATCTTCATGTAATACAAGTGTGTTTTTGAGCCGGAGCACACTGAACTGTAATGCTGAATGGCTTTCTCCTGCGTCATTAAATACCCAGCTTCCCCACCTCTTGAGTAAAGAACGGACCAGCCTGTTTGCCCAGATTACTTAGACATGACAGTAACATGAAAAGGATCGGGTTTAATAATCAGGATAAGAACTGTGGGCTGTGACAACTGTGTTTTCTCCCTTGGATCTGACCCTGACTTCACATTTGACCTGGGACAGAAGATTTAGGATAACCTCTGAAAGGGTACTGAGGCAGCTGCTAGGTGCCGCAGTCCAAAAAAGGGACCCCAAAAACTCCAAATTTCACTGACTATGAAACCCAGGTGCCTGAATTCACTCAGCAATTACTTTTTGGGCCTCCAAGTTTGCAAGGGGACCAAACTTATGCTTACACATACGTTTGAGAGTATGTGGCCTGAGCTAA